CCCTTGGAATCCAGTCACCATATTGTTTAAAGCCCAGGCCACATCTAGAAGACACACACATGTGGTCTTCCCACACAGAGCCCAGCTAGTCTCCTGACAGACGTACCATCCAGCACCACATATGTAAATAAACTTGTCTCCAGCCCCCAGACTTCTAGTCTCCCAGCTGAGGCCCAGATGTCCTATGGTAGATATCGGGTCTAGTAATAATTAATGTCGTTTTAAACATTCGTTTAAAGTCTTGCTTGGCGTTGACTTGTATTGACATAACCTTCAAACACGTGGCATCTACAGAACGTGTGAAGTGCAATTAACAAGTTTTGCTTGAAAAAGTTTGTGTTTGGTTTGGTTTTTGTTGCGAAACTAGGGCTAAGAAGATGGCGGATGAAGAGCATATTCGGCACTGCATGCTTTACGAGTTCCAATTAGGAAGAAAAGCAAGTGAGGCTGCAAAAAACATCTGTAGTGCTCTTGGTCAAGATGCAGTTAGCGCCAGAAAATGCCAGCGTTGGTTTGAGAAATTTCGCGAGGGAAATTTTTCGTTAGATGACAAGAGTGGTCGAGGCCATGTGTCCAATTTTGATCAAGAAGCTCTTCAAGCTCTTTTGGTGCAAAATCCTCAAATTACCCAACAAGAGCTTGCGACAACTTTAAATTGTTCACAAAAAACAATTTCCAATCCATTGCGTGCACTTGGCAAAGTCCAAAAGTTTGGAAAATGGGTTCCTCATGAGTTGACCGATAACAACCGTAATCAAAGAGTCACAATTTGCAGTTCGCTCCTCTCTCGTCAAAACCGTTTGCCGTTTTTAGAGCAAATTGTTACCGGAGATGAAAAATGGGTGCTGTATGTTAATTTGAAAAGGCGGCCTCAATGGTTGGACAAAAATGAGGCTCCGCAGCCCACGCCAAAACCTGACTTGCATGCGAAAAAAGTGATGTTGTGTGTTTGGTGGAATTTTAAAGGAATTCTTCATTATGAACTTTTACCATCTAACCAAACCATTACAAGTGCAGTGTATAGTGCCCAATTGGAAAGGTTAGCCCAAGCTTTAAGAGAAAAAGAACCCGTGCTGATTAATCGGAAGGGCGTAATTCTTCACCACGATAACGCACGACCGCATACTGCAAGAATCACTGCTGAAAAACTGCACCAGTTGGAATGGGAAGTTCTCCCTCAACCTGCATATTCTCCTGATATTGCCCCTTCCGATTACCATTTGTTTCGTTCTTTGCAAAACTTCCTTCTTGGAAAAAAATTTAATAATGAAGAATGCCTCAAAAATGCATTGACCGAATTTTTTGCATCAAAATCACAAGAATTTTACAACAGAGGGATTAAAATGCTTCCTGAGCGTTGGGCACAAGTAGTAGAAAACAACGGCAACTATATTGTTGATTAAATTTTGTTGTATTGTTTAAATTCGATTTAAAAAAGTATTAGAAAACGACATTAATTATTACTAGACCTAATACATGTCATCTTTACTCTACCCTGTCTGAATTCTTAACCCACAAAGACTATGAGATAATTCTTATTTTTTCAAACATCTACGTTTTGTAGTAATTTGTAACAGAACAAGAGATAACTAATACATTGCATTTGAGGTGCTTATGGGACTTCTCCTAACTTATATGTATATTTTGTTTTCTAAATTAGTGTTGCAAACTCTTTTATCTGTTTTATAAGAACACTTACTTAAGTACTCTGTCAGTTCTTGCCACTTCCACTAGTTGTCAAAACACCATTGACTGCGTTGCTTTCCTTAGATTTGATTAAAGAAGGAAGGAAGAAAGGGAGAACTCTTGGAAAAATAGAGAGGGGTGGGAGAATGTTGGAAAAATGCCAGCCGTGCCCTCTGGTCACAAGCATTGCAGGATCAGGAGTTTCTACACAGGCACGGGTATGGGCATTACATCCCTGAAGACCAGCATTGTGCATGCTCCCATCAGCCTTCCCTTCAAAGACCGTTGGCCCTGACATCAAAAAATAACAGCTGGGTTGTGTTAAGAAAGTTTTATTGTTTCCTTTGGATTTGTGATGAAAGCACATAAAATTACAAGTGGAAGAAACATCATGCCACAAAATTGCATAGAATTATTACAAAAATGTGAATTATGCTTTTTAAATAATTTGAGATAGAAGAACCAAAATATGTACATTTGAAGAGCTTCAAATACTTTGTCCTTTTTTTTTTTCTTCTGAAAAGGCAAAGGTCACAATATCTAATCCATCACAAGCAATATTTGTACAGTGCAAAGCACAACATTAAGTTCAAAGTAATGCAAGCAAGGGCCCTTTCTTTCGGAATTATTTAATGACTGCTTAACTATTACAGGAATAGTAAGTGATGTATGGCGATATGGAAATGTTAAAATGAAATGTTAAAAACCAAATCACATGGCATGTCATCAGAACTTTGAAAATTGTTTACACGGCCAAAACCACGCTATTCTCAGTAGTGTACAGGTATCGGAGGGGCACAGCCTAATTTAATACACAGCTCTACTCTCTAATATAGGAAAACCACAGTACAGAATTTCACACATTCAACAAAGAACAAGGCAAATACATAAAGGCACAAAACTGCACATCATATAGACCCCTTTTCCTTATCTTTGTCTATTTCAAGTAATATTAATATTGTTAAATGATAATATCACTGTAGTAGTTTCGATGATGCAAGATGGACAGTGTTACACACTACCCCACAACTGCAAAAGTGTCATTTGTACAGATATAAAAATGTGGTTACAATAAATGGCCCAATACAAACATATTAGAGTCACTAAGATAATGAAATGCAACTACCAAAACAGTTTTGTGTAAGTCAAGATTATTCAACCTTAGTCTATCTCTGGACTAAATGTAATACAATATGCGGTAATAATAATCACTATTGCGTTTGGTTATGAATGCTATTATTAGTTCACGCTTCTGCAATTTTAGACAGTCTGTAATTTTGTTTATAAAAATGCAGCATTCTATTTTGACCATTCTTACTTCCTAATGGTTAATGCCTTTCTTTCAAAGTGCAAAAGTAGAATGATTTACAAAAGATATCTCTTTTAATGGAAGTTAAGTTTTATTAAGTTTCTAATTAACACCCCAAATCTTTCAGATCAAAATACTATCATTTCCAAAGAGGATGGGATTTTCCTCCTTGTGTCTCACTAGATGTGTGTTTTTAATCAAACACTCTTTCCGAATGTTTGAACTAAGCCTTCATTTTGATTAAAACTTAATTGTGATTCTCAGTTATTGCTTAAAGTTAAATAAAGTGATTTCCATAAAAATATTAAATTCTTAAAATAATTTTTAGGACACAACTGGCTTTGTGTTTTAAAATGTTTTGCTAAGCTACAATCAGGCAGGTTTATTTTAAGCTAAAGCTGTGAGCATCTTGCTTCAGGGCTTTAACTTCAATGTTCTTTGTGTTACTCTCTAAATTATATTTTCCTCTATATAATTATTCTCTCTTATTTAAGACCTTTCAATAATGTTTTTGATCAGTTTTACCTTGATATGCTTTGTTTTTCTCATGTCATCTAACATAAGAACTTAACAAAAAGACACAGTTAAATGAATTAAATGTACATAATAAATATATAAATGAAATATTATTTATGTTAGAATAAAAATGAAATCTCTCAGCTTTAAAAATTATGGAAGATACTAATATAGTCCCATATTTCTGTTGTATATATTTTTATCTATTCTGATTATTGAAACAAGTTTAAAATCCAGTCTTGATCCTGCAAAATAGATATCAAATTCATATTCTAAATTCAAAATCTAATTCAACAACTTCATCAATTATTTCTTAAAATATCAATGATATAATCATGAAATCTAGATGTTTGATAATTTTCACCTCTAGCCACTTATCCCTAAATTTGTGGAAGAGTTTTGGGTCACTGACACACATCAACACTCGAATGAATGTGTGTATATGGTGCATGTGTCTGTATTTATATGGCTGAGTGTGTACATATATACATCGAGATAATATATATCATTTATATATGGGTCTGGGTATTCTTTAGATAAATATTCAATCTTTATCACTATTAAACATAAATGAATCATAACATAATGTCAGACATTAAGAACCACTGGGACCTGTTTAATCTGATTGAATGTCTGCTCAACATCTAATGGCTCAACTACTTTTATTCAACTGAACATATTCTATGTAGTTATTTATACATTTCAGGCCAACGGCTAATGAATACTCAGAGTTTGAGTGCAAATAGTCAACTCGGATAGCCCACTGGCTGGAGGAGTGTGGCCAACTTGCTCATGCAGCCAAATGTATGAGCCATACTGCCCACTCTGGGAATAACTTCACTGGGCAAAGACACAATCACATAATTGTTTTTCAGGAAATAAAACCAGCTTATTTGAATCACTATGATATCTGATAAAGCCATGTCAGCAACAAATACACTGAGGCCTCTATGATAAATAAGTTAGCAGAATGCAAGCCACCGGTGCTTGCAAAGCAAAGGACGAAACAATTAAAAAAATGCACATTAAATTGAAGATACGGTAGTTGAATGGCAGATAGGAAAACAATATTCAAAGTGGGTTGTTCAATAGTGTTAAATAATGATATGCATTTCTCAAACTACTTCTATTACTTGGCAAATATTTTATACCAGAGCTTCAAATAAAAACATGAGCTTGATTTTCTTCAAAGAAGACACAGTCCTTCATTAGATGGTCCATGGAGCTTGAAAGTTGCCTGCGTTGAGTTTACTATTGGAAAGAAAACAAAAATCCCACATGCATGCACTCTCCACTAGTAGACCTACGTTTGTTTCCACATTGCACATGGAGCCTGGGCCTGGGGACATCTGTGTGGATCCTTCTGGAACTCTCATTTTGGTGTGGATTTTGGGCTAAGGAAGATGCTCTGGGCAGTGATCTTTGTAATAAGAGAGAGCCCGATGGAGCTTGAGAGGCCATGCATGTTCCAAAGGCCTGGCAGGAACACTCACAGAGGAGTATCAAACTCTTTTCCCGGGTGCTCTCCTTCCAGCTCCTCACTGGAGGAAGGCCTGTGGTTTAGTTTTCCAGCGTCGGAGGCGAGGGAGGAAGGGGCAGAGCTGTGATTGCTGTCCTCGCTGATCTTCCCTTTCATGGCGTCCTGTACGAACTCCAGAATCTCCAGGGGCAATCTTTTGAACTTGTCTTGGTACTCTTGCTCCAGCTCCACCTGCAGCTGGGAGACACCAAGAAGAAAGGGTGATTTGATATCATTCAGGTTTTTATAACCACCCATGTAGAAACTTCTTGAATGACATGTTCAAAGGTTGGGGAGGAATATATTAATTTTAATATCATCTAGAAGTTACCTATTGAAAAGATATAGGACAGAGTTTAGCTCAACATGCCATTTTTCCATAGCTGAAAGTCAAGTTCAGGTTATGTGTGGCAGAATAGAGTTACCTGCAGTGATATAAACACACACACACACACACACACACACACACACACACACTCACACACACACACAGATGGAACTTCTGGAAAAAGTTTAGAGAAGTAGCTCAGCCAGCATGGCTCAGTGGTTGAGCATCTACCTATGAACCAGGAAGTCATAGTTCAATTTTTGTTCAGGGCACATGCCTGGGCTGCGGGCTCAATACCCCATAAGGGAAGTGCAGGATGCAGCCAATCCATGATTCTCTCTCATCATTGATGTTTCTATCTCTCTCCTTCTCCTTTCCTCTCTGAGATAAATTAAAAAAATATATTTTTAAAAAGTAATAAACAATGATCTGAAGTTCTTAAATGTAGGGGTTGGAAGCTAATGATAGCTGGGAGTGTCAAGGTCAGCCATGAATTGAGCTGGGAAGAACAGTGAAGAATCAGACCGCAACAGAGAGAGGGTCAAGGTGAGGGCTTTAAGAAGTGTGGCCTCACTCAGAGGCTGGGAAGCCCAGCTTATAAAGAGGAGCTGGAGCAATGGAAGCTAAAGAGAAAATAAACAAATGGGACTACATCAAAATAAAAAGCTTTTTTACATCAAAAGAAACCATCAACAAAACAACAAGAAAGCCCATGGTGTGGGAGAACATATTTGCAAATAACACCACTGATAAAGGTTTAATCTCCAACATCTACAGACAGCTGATACAACTAAATAAAAGGAAGATGAATGATCCAATTAAAAAATGGGCAATGGACCTAAATAGAATATTTACAAAAGAAGACAGAAGGAAGGCCAAAAGGCACATGAAAACATGCTCAAAGTCACTAATTATCCGAGAGATGCAAATCAAAACAACAATGCGGTACCATCTCACACCTGTCAGAATGGCCAACATCAACAAATCAACAAACGACAAGTGTTGGCGAGGATGCGGAGAAAAAGAAACCCTCGTGCACTGCTGGTGGGAATGCAGACTGGTGCAGCCACTGTGGAGAACAGTGTGGAGTTTCCTCAAAAAACTGAAAATGGAACTCCCATTTGACCTGGTAATCCCACTTCTAGGAATATTTCCCAAGAAACTAGAAACACCAATCAGAAAAGATATATGCACCCCTATGTTCATAGCAGCACAATCTACAATAGCCAGAATCTGGAAACAGCCTAGGTGCCCGTCAGCTGATGATTGGATCTAAAAACAATGGTACATCTACACAATGGAATACTATGCTGCCATAAAAAAGAAGAAATTCTCATCATTTGCAGCAACCTGGATGGAATTGGAGAACATCATACTGAGTGAAATAAGCCAATCAATGAAAGAGAAACACCACATGACCTCACTCATTTGTGGACAATAAAAAACATTATAAACTAATGAACCAAAAGATAGATATAGAGACAGTAAAGCAACAAGCAGACTGTCAAATTACAGTGGGGAGGGGAGGAGGATCTGGGAGAGATAATAGATCCACCCAAGGACTTGTAATACATGCATATAAGTACAACCAATGGATATAAAACTCTGGGGAGGGAGGGGATCTGTGGGAGGGAGGGAGGGGGGCAAAAAAATGTAAAAATAAATAAAATTAATAAAAATAAAAATAAATAAATAAAAGTACAACCTCACTTAAAAAAAAAAAAAAAAGAGGAGCTGGATGCATTTTTACACAACAAACTTATTCCCATAACCTACTTTAACTTCTATTTTGACTTCTTTTACCTTATCTTCATTTTACTCCTTTTTATTCCAATCTCTATTTGCCTCATAAACTGTTCTAGCTACCATGTAAACTGTCTTTTAATTTATCTGTTTAATGCTCAGGAGGATTTTCAGGCTTTTAAAAGACATAGAACACTTTCTTTAAATGCGGTCTTACACCTGGCCCTAGTCATAAAGCAAGCAAAAGCCGATCTTCAGAGAAGTAAGGTGAAGGGCAGGGCCAGAGGTGGGGGTTGCTCCGCACAGCAGAGGCAAACCTAAACCAGGACTGTTAAAACACAATTACTTTTGCTCATTGAATGATAAGTGGGGGATCATAATCTTAGAAATGAAGTGTAAGACTAAAGTGCTTTTTTCCTTCTGAGGAGCACTGAGGCAGCTTTTATTAAGATGTGTCCTTAAAACCTTTAAGGAACTTATCTTCCTGCTTCTAAAACTTTAAGGTGCACCCCAATCACCTGGGGCCTTAATTTTTTATTCTGATTCAGGAGATCTGGGTGGGGCCCAAGATCCTGCATTTCTCAGGGCTCCCGGTGATGCCATTACTGCTGCTTCTCACTGGACACTCTGATTACCTTTCTGTCTAAGCTCCCACTTTTATTTTTTGTCTTGAGCCTAGCTGCACATCCTTCATCTTCAGCTTCAGCGCAGCCCTTTGACCTCTGACCTTTGACTCCTGACCCCTAGGGTGAAGACAGTGCTCAGGGCATCTGCCCTTTGATGTGTGGACTGCCTTTATTCATTCCATTTTTGGATGATGCCTGAAGCTTGAGAACATCCTCTAGTTCAACTCTTTTGTACTCTTGCTTCTATGCCAGAGTTTTGCCAAACCTCAATTATGTCATATAGATTCATAATCCCTTATCTGCAATTCTAAAATTCCCAAAGTCCAAAAACCCAGATGATTTTTTTTTTTTGGTAAATTTATAGCAAACTCATTGACATTAGCTGATATAGGGCTATTTATAATTCTTAATTATCCTACTTTATATGAATATTCATGCACGGTATTGTAGATATAATCTGCTTGCTTATGAGGGTGACCCAAGACTCCCTGAAATACTATGCCTCTGATATATGTATCATATTACCTTTCTAAAATCAGAAATTTATGTATTCTGAAATATAACAGGCATCGAGAGTTTCAGATAATAGATTGTGAATCTATTTGAATAAATTTTTTTCACATCAAAAAATGACTGATAAAAATAACTTGACCAGAGTATTTCAAGTCACCTACTCTTCCCAAGGAAAAAAAAATGTGGGATATTAATGAATATGTTGTGCTAGAATCTGAATTCTAATAGCCAAGGTGAAAACATACTGTGAGAAGGGTATCTGGCAGAGGAGTCAGGGGTGGGTGGATAGGAAGAAATTAACCAAAGAATTTATATGCTAATGTATAACCCCAGACACAAACAATAGGGTGGTGAAAGGCCTGGGATGGTGGGGGAAAAGAGGGGACGTCTGTAATACTTTCAACAATAAAGATACATTTTACAAAAGAAGAAAAGAAGGTATCCTCAGGACCCTGAGAGTCACATTGCTGAGATGAGCAAAGGCACCTTCGCACACTTCCCCACCCTCAGGGTCAGGGGAAGCCCAGGACCTTCACAGGCAGGAAGAGGATGGCCAGTTCTCTCCCAGGTGCCCAACCATTTAGAAGGTCAAGCGTTTACACTGTCACACTCCTTTGTGTGAATAAGATCTCAGCCTGGTGTTTGGAAGCTTCCATTTACTATTATGCCAACTTCATCGTCATTTCACCTCAAATTTAATGCAGTAACATGTACCTTTAAAATGTCATTTCCAAAGAATGTAAGGAAAGGGAGAAAAGCATGGGGTCCTGGGTTTAGGGAACAGCAGATTGCTGTTTTCATTTGGATTAAACGGGGGGGGGGGACCTTCACTTAGAGATATATTCTACCTGACCTATAAGTCAATTCCTCATAGTTCATTGATGGACAAGACTCCATGTTGCTTGATAGTGCTGTTTCTTTTCTTAATTTATATAAAAAATGAAACATGAAATGTGAGAAAATTACACATACTTAAATTAATATTTTCTAGTAACTTTTTAATACCATGATTCTAGTCATTACAGTTCTGCACCCGATTTCAATGTGAGGGATTTTCCTCCACTCCACCAAGCAACTCTCTATGACTCCAGCGGGATGTCCTACAATTTAACTCTATTCTGACAGGCTCTATCTGGTGATAGCATTAGATTCCACAGTTTAAGGGTTTAGTCCCACAAGACTGCCCTCCACCCCCACCAAGTGGGAAGTCTTGTCACTTGTGCTTCTGCCTGACTGGCTCCAGTTAGGAGTTCCATTAATTTGCTAGATCAGTTCACAGAACCCAGAGAAACATTCCATTTACTAGACCACTGGTTTATTATAAAAGTGTATAACTCAGATGAAAGAGATGCCTACGGCAAAGTATGGGGAAGGTGAGGCGCTCCAGGACCTCTCTCTCTGGGAGCACCATTCTCCTCACTGTCCTTTCAGGTTTTTATGGAGCTGTCGTTACATAGGCACATTGATTACATTATTGGCCATTGGTATTTTTAAAATGAGAATGGAATTTTATTGGTAAAATAAGAATGATAGAGAATATTCTTAATATCTGTGTTAGGGTTCTCTAGAGAAACAGAACCAATAGCATATATATATATATATATATGCTATTGGTTCTGTTTCTCTAGAGAACCCTAACATATATATCTGATTGGATGGAGGGGTATCTGCTTTACTCAAAGTTTACTGATTTAAATGTTAATCTCATCCAAAAAGTATACCTTTATAGAAACATTGAGAATGATGTTTGATTACCAAATATCTGGGTACTGTGGCTAGCCAAGTTGGCATATAAAACTAACCATCACAATAAGCTAGCAAAATCTTGGACTATTTGATGAATTACTACTTTACTGAATACATTTTACAAAATGCTTCCTGGTGCACCCCTTACAGTTTAGTGATGTCATGTTCAACAAAAGCATTGTGGTTATTTCCTTTTCAGAGAAGTCAGGTATAGAAAGTATGAACCCACTGCCTAAAGCTAA